CCAACTTTCTCAAAATGCAAAAATCGACAACGAGATCCAGCACAAGATCCAGTGCGCAAGTGCTTCCTTTGGGAAATTGTTCTGATGCGTTTTCATGGACCATGACCTATGGCAGAACACCAAGATCCAGGTTGTAGTGGGGCAGTTACCCCACTCCTGGGAGAAAAGGTAGGCTGATTGGGGAAGTGGCCACAGCTGGGGCCACACCAGGCCCTGATAAGAAGGGTTAAGGGAAGAGCTGGGTCAGAGTCTCCAGCCTTGGAGAGAGAAGGACTTAGCTGCCTGGGAGCACAGGGGGCAGAGCAGTGCTGGGGAAGGGCAAGAGGAGCTGGGGAGCTCCAGCCTGGCAACTCCCCAGGCTGAGGCCTTGGTAAAGGTACTGGGGCTGCAGAGGTGCAGCCTGGGGATAGGCAAAGGCAGCAGGTCCAACCCCCTTGCCAGTGATGAGTGTCATTACAGACTGCAGTCTGCCCCGGGGAAAGGGGGCTAGATGACGACTGGCAGTAGCCACTGAGGCAAGGTGGGCTTAGAGGGTTGGGGGTTCCCCTGGGAAGGGAGACCCAGAGTGTGGGGCACTGCTGAGGGGCAGCACCCCAAGATAAGAGGGCACCAGGTCCGGGAGGGACACGGGGGCCTGAGGCAGGAGAGACACTGGCCAGAAGGGGGCGCGCCGAGGCTGGAACTGAGCTAATTCCCGGATGACCAGCAGGAGACGCCATGCCGATGAGTCTGCAATCTGCTACACAGGTCTATAAGACTATTGTTGTTCCTACACTCCTCTATGGATGGGAAATCTGGGTGAACTATCGACAGCACCTCAAGAGTCTAGAGAGGTATCACAATGATGCCTCTGGAAGATCCTTCACGTCAAGTGGCAAGATTGCCGCACTAACACCATCATCCTCGCTGAAGCCAATGTCATCAGCATTGAAGCAATGATCCTCATGCACTAACTTTGCTGGGCTGGACATTGTGTGCGGATGCCAGACTCTCGCCTCCCAAAACAAGTCCTCTACTCTCAGCTCACCCATGGTCAGAGATCCTGTGGTGGTCAGAGGAAATGCTACAAAGACCTACTGAAAGCATATCTTAAGAAAACTGATGTGGACATCACAAGCTGGGAGGAGCAAGCCACCAACCGACCCTAATGGCGCCATATCCTCCATCAGGCAGTGGCCCGCTTCGAGGAGAAGTGCCTTGCCCTCGAAGCTGAAAAGAGAGAGAGAGAAAGAAAGAAAGAAAAAGAAAGAACTTTCTCCCAGCAGGCAGGTGGCCTGCCACGAAATGTCTGTACCAATTGCGGGCGGATTTGCGGTTCCAGGATTGGACTGCTGAGTCATCTTAGGACTCATATGTAAATCCATGGTAGAGATCATCCTCAAATCGAGGGATTGCAAAAGCAATCAGTTGTAGGGTAAGTAAACAGCCAGAATCCCCTCAATAGAGATGTGAAAAGCTGTTAATGAAGCCAAATTAACTTTGAAAGAGCTAAGTGATAGACCCGCTTTCTTTAGTTGAAGCAGGTATTCCAGAACAAGAATAAGCAAGGTAGATTTGGGACAGTATTCTGGAGTTCCCCCCAATGAGTAAATCATCTCCACTTTTGAAAGTAACTGTTTCTGGTAGAATCTTTCCTACTACTTAATAATATCCGTTGCACCTTTGCAGAACAGACCGACTAATTCCACGGATCATCAAGGAGCCACATCTGAGAATGCTCAGATTGGTAGGTAGCGGGCGACCACCATCCTGAAAGAGGAGTGATTGGAAGATTTATTGCTGGACAAAGATTTAGGCACAACAGGTAAGGAACTCATGCCTACCTCAACCACATTGGGGCGATTACAATAACTCTGGTCTTATCCTGTCTGATTTTGCTCACAACTTTGAGAATCAGAAGCGTTGGGGGAAATGGATAAAACAGCTTCTTTCTCCAAGTGAGGAGGAAGAAGTCCTTCAAGGGATTGTGACCTAGACTCCAACCCTTGAACAAAATAGACAGCATTTTTTGTTTGTAGTTATTGCAAAGAAGTCCACTTCTGGAAATCCCCACGTCTGAAATATGCCAACAAGAATCTGGGAATGCAACTTCCATTTGTACTCTTGGAAAAACCACCTGCTGAGAGTGTCGGCTTTGACATTTTGCCTGATGAGGTGATACACTGCTGAAATTCTTATGCAATGTTTTATGCACTAGTTCCATAACTTTATTGCTTCAGCACAGAGGGAAGAGGACCTCGCTCCTCCCCGCCGACTGATACAGGACATGCAGGCTATATTGTGTGTCATGACTTTGATAGACCTGTATCTGAGGAGAGGCAGAAAGTGAAGGTAGGCATTTCTGACCACTCTGAGCGCCAACAGGTTAATACGGATCTCTTAGGGTGACCATCTGCTTTGTACTGTTAGAACTTTGAGTTGCACAACCCGTCCTAACAGAGATGCATCCATGATTACAATTGTCATTAGCGTTGGTTGGAGGAAGGGGACCCTCACCCCTACTTTTCAATGAACCTTCCACTAGTCCAGGGAGCATCTGACCTGTTGAGGAACTGATGCCTCTTTGTCTAGGCTGCCTGTTTGGCAAGTAAACTGATCTGAGCCACCCCTGGAAATAGTGAAGGTGTAATCTTACATGCTCTGTCAAAAAAGTGCAAGCCATCATGTGACCTAGAAGTTGAAGACAGTTTCTGATTGAAGTCGGGGGGTTCCCTTGAATAGCTGTGATAAATTTGATAGTATCATGAATCTGTCCATGGGAAGAAATACCCTGGAGGCCAAGGAATCCAGGGATGCCCCTATAAACTGTATGTTCTGAATGGGGAAATCCCCAACATTGGAAGATGTTGATCATGATATCTGGGCGGAGGGACCACCTGTGATTGTGAAAGGACATGCTGAGATGATCGGCCAGCTCATTCTGAGGTACAATTCCTCTAGATGTATTGAGTGGGCAATGCAGAAGTCCCACAGTTTGAGGGCTTCCTGGCATAGGAGAGAGGAGTGAGCACCACCCTGTCTGTTTATATAGAATGTCGCTGGAGTAATGAGGTTCCCAGACATCTTCCCTGTCTCTCCGAGAAAGGAGGTTTGTATATAGGTACACAGGAGAGTCTCTGAACAGAAATAGATTGGCTAAGGTTAAGAAATATATTGAAGGGAGGTCTCCATGATCATCCTCTTCTTCCTCTATCAGGGAGCTCCAATTGAAAAGGGAGGTGACAGTACTGGGAATATATAAGGGTCCGGAGACAGAGGTTCTTGTTACTGAGAGATGCCAGCAATGGAGACTGTGGTTCAGCAGTCACCAATAAGTCTTTCGGATACCTAAAGTCCTACGGCATCATGTGAGGCTGCAGCATGGACGGACGGGTACGCTTGTCTCTGCAGGATGATAGCAGTGGTTTTCAGACTTCACAGGCGGCACTGATGTAGATGCAGGCTTAGACTTACACATTACCAAAGAGCTCAATAAGGGTACTGGGAGAGGGGTTAAGACTGACAGACTGGACCTTCTGTGTCTGTTCTGACCATCTCCGCTAGACAACACCGGAGCCTTCTCCGAGCCATATTTGCCTTTTGAGCTACAGGATTTTCCTGCCTCGCTGGTACATGAGGCACCCCTAGCCTCTAAAGTACCAGGCCTCAAGGAAGAGGTCTTGGAGACTGTTGACCTGGTTGGAGAGCCAGGTCTTTTCGAGGTGAGTATGTTAGGAGGAAAAGGAAATGTTACTCACCCTGTGCAGTAACTGTAGTTATTTGAGATGTGCCTCCCTATGCGTGCTCCACTCCACAGGGACACACATCTCGAAGAATTACAATTACTGCACAGGGTAAGTAACATTACCTTCTTCTTTGAGTGGTGTCCCTATGGGTGTCCCACTCCAGGAGACTTCTGAACAGTATCCCCAGAAGGAGGAGGGAACTTCGGAACAGAGTCCAGAACCAAAGATAGTACTGCTGAGCCAAGTACCACATTGGACCTGACTGCATAGAGGAGGGCATAGTGCTTTGGAAAGCATATGGATTGAAGACCAGGAAAAGCAGCTCTACATATCTAAGAAACTGAGATATTCTTAAAAAATACAGCAGATGTTGCTTCCAATCTAGCTGAATAAGCTCTCACCCCCTGGGGGCTGAGCACCTGCAGATGCATAACAGGTGTAGATGCAACCAGATATCCATTTCAAAAGTCTTTGGGCAGAAATGCGGGCCCCCTTAGATCCGCAAAGGATATGAAGAGTCTAGCCAATCTCCTAAACTGCTTATTCCTATTAAAGTAGAAGGTTTAGACCCTTCTACCATCCAAGATATGGAAGTAGGATTCCTGCTGAGAACTGGGAGGTTTTGGAAAAAATACCAGTAGATGGATACCCTGTTTCCCCGAAAGTAAGACATCCCCCGAAAATAAGACCTACTTCCAGTTTTGCCTCTCGCTGTAATATAAGGCATCCCCCCGAAAATAAGACCTCCCCGATAATAAGGCCACCCCGGAATATAAGGCCCCGAAGCTCCAGGAAAAATAAGACCTCCCCTGAAAATAAGACCTAGCGCATCTTTGGGAGCAAAAATTAATATAAGACACTGTCTTATTTTCGGGGAAACAGGGTAGATTGGTTAAAATGAAAATCTGATGTAACATTGGGTAGGAACCTAGAATATGAACATAAAGAGACCTTATCATGAAAGAACGTGATAAAGGTGGGATCTGCCATCAAAGTTCCAAACCAATTTCCCCAAACCTACGGGCTGACCTGATGGCAACTAGGAAGGCTATCTCCACAGATAACTGAAGAAGGGAGCAGGTAGCCATTGGTTCAGATGGAGGTCTTATGAGGTAGCTGAGAACCAGCCTGAGGTCCCAGGAAGGGGTGGGGTGCCTAGTGGGGAAGAGATTACTCAAACCCGGGGATTAAAAGTTGATATAGCAGCCAGGTGTACCTTAACTGAGCTGATGGATACCCCGGATGTCTTCAGATTCAGCAAGTAACCCATAATGACAGAAAGGGGAATCAACTGAGGCCAGAGATAGTGATGACAGTGCCAGTGGGCAAATCTCTTCCATTTCTGCAGGTAAGAAGTGTGGGTTGATGTTTTTCTGCTGTGTAATAACACCTGCTGCACCTTCATAGAGCAGGATACAACAGGTTGATGTGGAGACTGGTTTCCTATGCCATCCACTTGCCCTGAACTGTGAGGGTACCGAGGTGGGCTCCCCACCCTAACAAGGATGCATCGGCTGTTAGAGTCACTAACAGGGTTGGGTGGCAGAAAGGGATGCCCAATAGATGTGGAGCTGCTCCTTCCACCAGTTCAGGGAGTTCTTTACATGCCACCTGCCTGTCCAAGTTGTCCTTGGTCCGACAGTATGCAGTTCTCAACCAACCTTGGATGCAACAGAGGCGTGACTGGTCACAAAGGTTCATGCTGCCATATAGCCAAGGAGTTGAAGACAGTTCCTTATTGATTTCCCAGGGATTCCATGAATCATCCCTACTAGTCCTGGCAGAGTCACAAATCTGTCTAAAGGAAGATATGTTCTGGCTGTCACTGAGTCCAAGTACACCCCTATAAACTGAATTCCCTGCACTAGTACTCAAGTGGGTTTCTTTACATTCAGCTGTAGGTTTAACTCTTGGAACAGAGCAAGTCCCTTCTGAGTGGATGACAACACTGCCTTGAAAGACTGGCCTTTGAGAAGCAAGTGATCATGGTATGGGAAGATGAGAATTGCTTCCTGCCAAAGGTGAGCTGCCATTATTGCTAGGAACCTTGAGAACACCCTTGGAGCTGCAGATAGACTTAAGGGAAGCACAATCTGTACTGGAGATGATGTTGGCTCATAGTGAATTGTAGGTATTTCCTGTGCAATGGGTGTATGGCCATATGGAAGTAAGTGTCTTGTAGGTCGAGGGACAAAAAACAATTCCCTTCCTCTGGAGCAGGAATTATAGTGTTAGTCGCCATCCTGAACTTCTGAGGCGTCACAAACTTGTTCAGTTGTTTTAGATTTAAGATCAGGCTCCCATCTCTGTCCTTTTTTGGTACTAGGAAGTAGAGTCCTCTGTGGGACTAGTGTAGAGCCCTGCAGGATGACTGGGATCCCACAGGACTGCTGCCATAATAGCAGGAGCGAGTTGGAGTGACAGTGGGTATTGTGGGGCGGGACAGGAGTGGGATTAAAAATAGTCCCGCACAGGACTCTATTAGGAAGTATTTCAAGTAGAACTCCCTCTCCCTGTAAGTGGAAGGGACCAGCTCTACTGATCCTAGCTGGAGGAGAAAGTTCACTCCTGCCTTAGTAGAAGTTCACCAGAGGGTCTCTGACGAGGGATGGGAAGGAGGATGGAAGGGAGGGAGTATCAAAAACTGGACGGTGTACCCCAAGGTTATGACCTTCAAGACCCATTGGTTCGTGGTGATCTGCTCCCAAGGCTGGTAGAAATGGACAAGGCAATCCCCAAAGGCAGGGAGGTGGGCTAAAGGGTGGAACGGGAGGATTCAAACCCTTGAGCGACCCATCGAAACTGCTGGTTAGAGGACACCTGGGTGGTTGTGGAGGGCAGTTGGACAGTCCTATTACTCTGAAACCTCTCTCTCTTCCTGGCAGGTTCTGCAGGTCTCTGACACCCCTGGAACTGAGCAGGGCTTGATCTCTGGACAGTCTGTGACCTACTGAAGTGCTTCTTGTATAAACACCCAAGGAAAAACGGGTGGCCCTGGAGTCCTTAAGTGTGTGCAGGGAGTCATTTGTGGTTGCCGAGAAGAGTTTGTGACCAAAGGGGAGGTCCTCTACTGTGTTTTGGACCTCTCTCAGTAACCCTGAAAGCTGGAGCATGGACACCCTGCGTATAACTACCACCATGGAGATGGATTTGGCAGCACTATCTACAGCATCACGGATGCTTTGAGAGCTGTTCTGGCCAACAGCTGACTCCCTGCAACAATAGACTAGAATTGTTCCCTGCAGTCATGTTGCAGATGTTCAATAAAGGCCATGAGCTTATTGTAATTAGTAAAGCTGTATGTGTACCCATGGCTGCCTGATAGTTCACAATCCGGAACTGCAGGTTTGTGGACAAGTAAGATTTTCATACAAAGAGGTCCAATTGCTTTTGCTCCTTGTCATAGGGGAAAAGTGCTGTCTACCCCACTCGTTCACAGCATTCACCATGAGTTAGGTGGGGGATGGGAAAACAAAAAGTCACAGTCCTTCGGGGGTACATTATACTTCTGGTCAGCCCTTTTGCACATTGGTTGAATAGTTGCCAGAGTCTGCCATACTGTCTTAGCTGGATCCAGGAAAGCCTAATTAATGGGGAGCACCCTCTGAAGGGCGTTGCTTACTGTGAAATATCAAGCAGCCTGTGCTGCTGGTCTTTGACCTCCTCCAGAGGGATTTGCAGAGTGTCCGTTACCCTTCTACTGATGTCCTGGAATTGTCTGAAATCATCAGCGATGGAAGGAGGGGTCAATAACGAAATGGTAGTTTCAGGGGTAAATTCCTCATCTGCCCTAGCCTCCAACTCCTCAAACATCTTTTCCTTAGAAGGGCAGAAGAAGGTTGTGGAACTCTGGTCTCCACAATGGACAGTACTGGTGGCTTATTGAGCTGTTGTCGATAGGCAGCCTATGGGTCCCATTGCATAAGGGAGTGGGGGTTGGCATACAGGGTGGTTCCACCATGATTGATGCGCAACAAGTCCTCCCTGCGCAAGAGCAGATTCCTGAAGAGGTATGTAGGAGAACCCCTAACAGAAATCAAGGAGCCTGACTGGGAGTGCTCTTCCTACTCCTTCACATCCTCCCATAGGGGGGCAACCAATGAGGACAAAGGAGAGTCCTATGCCAGGGAGAGGCCACTCAAAGACTGAGGAATTGGTATCCTGAGACGCTTGGTACCTGAGAGCAACAGGGACTCTGGTTCATTCGACAACAAGAGATCCCTCAAGTATTGTGTCCTTTCCTCAGGAGTTCCAAGTACTGACACCTTAGTCAAAGTCGCCATGGTTGCAGCTAACAATACTAATAACGCTGAGTGTTCCACAGGCCTTGTCAAACACCAGTGCTTGCTCAGTACCAAGAGTATCACTTGCACAGGCACACCCAGCTGAGCTATTTGCATCAGTAACGATGGCTGGGTTAAGGCGCATGACAGCACCAACGACTGAGGGGAATGCTACAGTGCTGATGACGGGGCTGAGCTTGATGGTACCCTGAATTTCTCCTTACTAGTAGAAGGTAGAGGCGCCCTACCAGAGCCGTGTTTCCTCTACTTGAAGCTATGGGGCTTCGTGGGCCTGCCGGTACCAAGGGAAGAGTCTTTGGCCTCAATGTACACTTGGAGACTGAGGGATTCAACAGGGACATGGGTCTTTTTTGGAGCTGGCTCCTTAAAGTCCGTGCTCTTTTGGGAAGTCATCCCAGGGTGCACCAAAGGCTTCTCTTTCTTAGGAGAAGCATGTCCTTAGATGGGATGCTGGATGTACGGGGGGGGGGGGGGGGGGGTGAAGAGGAGAAAGGAGAATCTCCTGACCTGGCTCAGAGGGTGGTTGCAGGGAACGTTCCACTGTCAACAGTCTGAACTTTATCTCCCTGTTCTTCCTAGTCCTGGACTTAAGGGCTAAACAGGTGGAGTACTTCTGGGAGATATGGGACTCTCCCAAGCAAGGGAAACACTTGGAGTGTCTGTCACTCACCAGTATAGCCCTCTGGCAGGAGAGGCAATGTTTGAATCTTGGAGAATTAGGCACACCTTGCCAGGGAAAGACAAGACTCCTTGGGAGAAAAGAGGAAACGCAGTCCTCTTGGCTAAACCAACTAACTATACAAACACTAATAACAGTAAACTAACTAGCGTTAATAGAAAAAAGTGGAGAAAGTCTGCGTACGCTCTAGGCAGATTTGCTAGTGTTCTCTCTCGGGCTGAGGCAGTAGAAAAGGAACTGATGGTGGCTCATCCACATACCCCTATATAGAGCTTGGTTTCTGCTATGAGAAGGCATAGGCATGGGCCGAACCGGTACAGCTAGCCAGAAATCAAGGGCTTGAGAAACACATGTACACCTGGAGTGGAGCACCCATAGGGATACTACTTGAAGAACAATTGAAATGCCTCTTCTTAAGATCTTTAAAAGGAGGTCTCTGAGGCTTTCCTCTTTCTAGGAGAGTGTTGCACTGAGGTTTAAGGGGCACTACTAACCCCCAGGGACTGATATACAGGGGGGTTCTTCTGATCTGGCTCCAAAGAGACTACTCCATCATTTACAGTCACAACTTGACTGCCTGGTTCTTCTGGGCCCTGGATTTGAAGGTCAAATAGATGTTACCCTGCTGTGGGAAGTGCAACTCCCCCAGGCAGCAAACCCATTTAAAGAGTTTGACCAAGCTAGCCTCTTTACACGTGAGGCAACATTTAAACCCCAGTGAACTGGGAATGCTCCTCACAGGGGGGATTTCCTTGAAGGAAATAAAACAATCTTTCAGTAGCCAGTAACTAACTACTTAAAACTAATTAAGTAAACTAAATAAACTAAGTAAATGAACTCAGCAAGCATCTAAGGCAGGGGTTCTCAAACTGGGGGTCGAGACCCTTCAGGGGATCACGAGGTTATTACATGGGGGGTCGCAAGCTGTCAGCCTCCACCCCAAAGCCCGCTTTGCTTCCAGCATTTATAATGGTGTTAAATATATAAAAAAGTGTTTTTAATTTATAAGGGGGATCGTACTCAGAGGCTTGCTATGTGAAAGGGGTCACCAGTAAAAAAGTTTGAGAACCACTGATCTAAGGCATACACTAGGCTACTTCTCAGGCTGAGGCAATTGAGAAGGAATTGAATATAGTTTGCCCACACAACCTTATATAGCCACGGTCTGAGGCATGAGGTAAGCAGTGTATGTGCAGGCCAAATGGACGCTGCTAATCAGGGGCGGCTCCAGGCACCAGTGCAGCAAGCACGTGCCTGGGGCGGCAAGCTGCGGGGGGCGGCAGGCAGGCTGCTTTCAGCGGCATGCCTGCGGGAGGTCCGCCGGTCCCGTGGCTTCGGCTGCAATTCAGCGGTGGGGATGCCGATGGCACAGCACCGGCAGACCACCCACAGGCATGCCGCCGAATCTGCGTGACCAGCGGACCGCCCACAGGCGCGCCGCCAAAAGCCGCCTGCCTGCTGTGCTTGGGGCAGCAAAAAAACATAGAGCTGCCCCTGCTGCTAATGAATAACTCTGATTAAAGGTGGTGGCGCGCATGAGCATCTGAAGTGGAGCACCCATGGGTGCACTACTGGAAGTAGTAGTCAAGGACTTTTGCTTCTCCTTCAGAAACCTAGAGCACTAAGACAGTAACTGGGGTTGGGCGCAAAAAGCAAACCTCTTCCCAGAGCAGCAAGGCATAGATGGGAGATGGGATACTAAAAACAGAATAATTTCCATACTTAAATAATCTGACCCAGTAATCCAAATTAATTCTGGAAAAAACTGAACTAACCTAAAACTTTCCTCAAAAACTGAAAATAAACTCAACTCACATTCTAGTTTAAGCTCAAAAAGGCTCAGAGACCTTTCTTTAAAATTCGGTGTTGACTTACTCTTCCTATTTTTTCTGGAAGCACAGAGACAATGGCTATTTGTGTGGTATTTTAAATCTGGCTGAAACCAGGAAAGAGTGAAACTTTAAGTAATAATAAATAATAATAATGATAAAAAAAATCAGTTCTCAGATGTCCAGTCAAGCTCTCTCTCAAAAAAAAGATTTAGATAAGAATCCTAATAAGGAATATGCATATATGAAGAGAACTAAACCTTCTGTGGTTCACTATCCACTAATTTATGTATTTAAATTTCAGACACCCACATAAGCAAAATCTGAAAAAGTATGTGTATATATATTTCCCCCCTGTAATACAGGCCAAGAAACCAACAGTCACTACTTTTTTACACAAGTAACATTTCATAGATCACAATTATATGGTGTATCAAGTTGATTTATCATCAACTTGTACACTTAATCAACCTACAACCCCAATAAGTCATGGACAAGATATCAAATATAAAAACCTCTTCCCCTGCCCCTACAAAAAACACTGGAAGAGATTAAAACAATTAGTAATTATTGGTAGCCACTTAATAGGTGCTCAAAAGCATAATAGCTTTCTGTTAGTAATTATATTGCATTAATGAGACTTATTTTGGTCATTTGCCTTAGCTAATTTTTAATAAAAATGTTTCGAACTATTTAAGTCTTAGCAAAAAGCAAACACAACCATTCTGTTTCACAAATGAAAAAGTAGGATTTTGGAAGGAAAATATATGTAATGTGACACATGTACTTTACACAACATAATGCAACATACGAACAATTTCTACTAACGTCCCTTTTCCACTCCACCATGAACTCACCATTTCAAACAGAAAATATTCACCTGATAAACATGTTGCTAGTTTCATGTGTTAGACATTTATGCACCCACCTACTGTTATATAAAATATATGAAACAGCCCTATAAATAGCGGAACATTTTAATTCTAAGTTCATAATATTTGACACTAATAGGATTTTATTTGTTTTTATCCTCTAAACAAAGTAGCTCAGTCTGTCACTCACTCCCTTTTATTCATTTTTTGTTTTGTCTTATTGCATGCATCTCTTGTAAAGTGAAAACGTCTGTTTTAAGATAAGTGGAAATACTACAGT